ACTCTACTCTACTCTACTGTACTCTACTCTACTCTACTCTTCTCATCTCTACTCTACTCTACTCTACTCTACTCTACTCTACTCTATTCTGCTCTATTTTATGACACTCGACTCTACTTTACTCTACGACACTCTACAACACTCGATTGTACTATGCGAACCTCTATGACACTCTACTCTACTCTACTCTACTCTACTCTACTCTACGACACTCCATGACACTCTATGACACTCTACTTTACGACACTCTATGACACTCCACTCGACTTACACTCTATGACACTCTACTTTACGACAATCTATGACACTCCACTCGACTTTACTCTAGTCTACTCTACTCTACTCTACTTTAGTCTACTCTACTCTACGACACTCTATAGTAACTTTATTTTGCGACACTCGACTCTACTTTACTTTGCGACACTCTACTCTACTCTACACTTTCTATACTCTACTCTACTCTACTCTACTCTACTCTACTCTACTCTACTCTACTCGACGACATTGTACTCTACCCTACAATACTCTACTCTACTCTGCTCCACCTACTCTAAAACACTCTACGACACTATACTCTATTCTACTCTACGACACTTTACTCTATTTTACGACACTCTACTCTACTCTACTCTACAATACAACAATGTACTATGCTCTACTGTACAACACTGTACTCTATTGTACGACACTCTCTACAACACTACTCTATAACACTGAGTCTCTACTCTACAACACTCTACGACACTCTATGACACTCTATGACACTCTATGACACTCTGTGACAGTCTACGACACTCTATGACACTCCACGACATTCTCCTCTACTCTATGGTACTTTCTTTACTGTTTCGGTAGTTTTGGTTTAAACTCAGACTCCGTAGCCAGTCTTAGGCTATTCTTTATTACCCTGTGATTCATTTAAAATTTTGTTTTTTACTAGGTTACCTGATCGGACGTCCGGGCCCCCCCTGAACGTCCGGGGTTGTCCGATCGGACAACTGGGCGGACATCCTCCCCGGGCAGTCTGTCAGAGCCCGAAAAAAAAAAAAAAAAAAGTCCTCAGAAAAATCTGAAAAAAAAGTATGTTATATAGAAAAATAAGCTGAACAACTTCTGCCTTGGAATCATATCAAAGTTCGCTGCCAATTTTAAAATAGAAATAAAATAATATAAAAACCCTTTTTTTTAATACTTTTTTCGTGCTTTTAATTACTAAAAATGGAGTTGTCCGGGCCCGGACGTCCGGGACCCCCCTGACTGTCCGGCCAGGACGTCCTGCCATCGGACAACTTTTTTAAGACTGTCTCGGTTTATACGAGTGGTCCGTGTCAGGTTGCCTACAACATTTCTTAATTCTGCGGGGATGGCCTGCACCGCCCGCGGGCGCTTAGCGAGTATATATTACGACCAAGATCTGCACCAGAACGGTAGAACCCCCTTCACCTTCCAGCCTCCTTTTAACACTTCTAAGTGGCACAACTCAATTTCAGCCCTGTCCCTTAGAGTACTATCGCAGCTCCCCACCAATAGATTGGAGCCACGTGAGGGCGGTAAAACAGGGGGCTGCTCTTATCACCGCCTGGGATATGGCCCTAGGCTGTTCTAAATAAATGAATAAATAAATGAATAAATAAATGAATAAATAAATAAATAAGTAAATAAATAAGTAAATAAGCGTTTGCTCACTGTCCTACCTTGTCAGGGGCATGCACAGGCAAGACAGACAACAGAATTGACATGCAGACTCAGGCTTGGACTTAACAAGCAAGCACATGGACACATACAACACCAGCAGACATTCAAACTCAGCAGACTCTGATTTGGAGATCTCAGCAATCCCAAAAAAAAAAAAAAAAAACAAGAGCGTAGCTCATTGAGTACACCCATGAACTGTTGAAATACAGACCTGTGTTCGAATCCAGATGATGGAATTCGACCAGTACAACCAATTACTAATGAATTGCTTGGGGCCGGTCAGCTCAATGCTAATATCTTAAGGCCGTCGCCCTTTTAAACATAATTATAAAAGAAAAAGAAAAAAAAAAGAAAAAAAAAAGAAAAAAAAAGACAGCATTCAGTTTGCTACGTAGTCAGAAAAGCTCAGATTTGTCAGACTGCAACGCTGCTGTTCAGTGCAGTTTGTAAATGATCCAAATAGTTTTGTGAAATGAAATCTAAGTTTGAAATAATTCAATAAACATAAAAATTACAACGGATTGTCGATGAATAATAAGCATCCACAATCCCATACGACACGAGTGGAGCACTTGAGTTACAGCCACGATCAGGAAGAAAGCAAAAGAAGAGGCAAAATTATCCAGCTGCTGAACACATTAGTGAAGTTACATTTCCTACAATACGCAGTCAGTCTTTTCTATTGCTGTTTTCCTCGATTCCCCCAACATAATACACCCTAGGCACTAGCGTCAAACACAAAACATAGCTTGATCCATGCATCGCAAGGGAGCGACTTCTTTAGGGGAAGAACTTAGATGGAGTATCAATGCACATAAAACCTAGGCTGCTCCCCGGGCCGCCCGGCGGCCTGGTCGTCGCCCGGGAAGGGGCCGGTTGTAGCGCCCGGTTGGCCACCGGGCGCCCCCAACGCATCACCGTACGTATATATATATATATTTTTTCCGGCGCTGGGGCCCGTTTTCTCCCCATCCTAGACTACACAGACACCGAAAAAAAAAAACAAAAAAAAAACGGGGCCGATAGGCCCCATTTTACCGGATTGAAATCGGGCCCGATCTTGATCGTGATCTCAGAGATTGACAGCCCAGATGGCCGCGATTTCAAATAGGTGAGGGCGGGAACTACCGGCCCCCCCCTCCCCCCATTCTCAAGATGTACACCCGCCGTTCACTGCCCTGCAGCAGTGTCGCTCCGCCGGCCTTCGACGCGCAGCTTCGATGCGCTTCTTCGACGAACCCCCGCCGGCACCTGCCAACGCCTGCCATCGCGCGTGACCCCGCCGTCGCCCACCAACGGCCGCCATCGACAAGGTAAGGGACTCAGTTGGGGGGAGAGAGAGAGAGAGAGAGAGAGAGAGAGAGAGAGAGAGAGAGAGAGAGATCTTCTTTTTCTTCTTCTTCTTCTTTTTCTTCTTCTTCTCTATGTAACCGTTTGAACGCGGTGAACGCGCGTTCGCGTTCAAATGTGCGTTCAAACGCGGATTGCGCGTTTGCGTTCGAAAATTGAACGGCGTTCAATTTTTTTTATTTATTTATTTTTTTTAATATTTTCGATGCCTAATTTTTTTTTTTTTTTATTTTTTTTTATTTTTTTGTGAGTTCTATATGATGTGGGCTACATGTCTGTTAATTTTGGAGTTATTTTGCCGAGGGAAAAAAAAATGAAAAATCGCCAAAGATGGGCCCACTAATTTCAATTCTTTTTTTACTTTTTTCTATTTTCTGTTCTCTATTTTTATTTCGAATTTGATGGCGAATTTGGATGTGATTCTCAGGTAAAAGTTGTTTATTTTATTTTTCTTCATAACATATGTTTTTTTTCGGAATTTTTAGAGAGCTTTGTTTTTTTTTTGTTTTTTTTTTTTTCCTGCGCGGAATTGAACTCCGCGTTCGGTCGCGTTCACTGAACGCGCGTTCATTCCGTTCAATTTCTGAACGGAAAACCCGCGTGCCGTAACATAGCTTCTTCTTCTTCTTCTTCTTCTTCTTCGTCGTCGTCGTCGCTTCGTCGTCGCTTCTTCTTCATTTCTTCTTCTTTTTCTTCTTCTTCTTCTTCTTCTTCCTCTTCTTCTGCTTCGCTTCTTCTTCTTCTTCTTCTTCTTCTTCTTCTCCTCCTCCTCCTTCGCTTCTTCTTGTTCTTCTTCTTGCTCACCGTTTCGTGCCCCCCTTGCCTGCCATCCCCGACCACCACCGACTTCCCCTACCTTCCCCCGATCTCCCCCTGCAGCCTCCCCGCCCACTATTCACCCACCACCCACTCCCGGTCTCTCGACCCCCCCCCGACTTTCCCCCGATCCCCTCGTCTCCCCGTTCCCCCCACTTCTTACCTCGGCACGATATCCCCCCACCCTCGATTTCCCCCTTCATGGCTGCT